CCTGTATGTAAAAGTGAAACTACACAGACATGAGAGTATCTAATCTCAGCAACGTCCTCACTGCTGCCCCAAAGCCTCTACCTTTGATTGGACCCATGACATTCACAGCATTTATCCATTTTTAACTGACTGGTGGTTAAATTTCTCAGACTTATCCCAAATAGTCTGCATTCTGCCTAAGCCCCAGCCTGCAGTGTCTCCGTTTATTTTTTCATTTCATTCCTTACTCCTGATTCATTGTCCTTTTCACTGAACTATATCCTTTAGTAATTCTTTCAGCAAGGGTCGAATTTTGCAGACTATTTTGTCAACCAACGGTTTTATCTCACCCTTATTAATTTATAATAGTTTGGCTAGGTATAGAATTCTAGGTTGACAGGGTTTTGTTTTGTTTTGTTTTGCTTGTTTGTTTGGTTTAGTTTTGTCATTTTAAACATATTATTTCACTCTCTCCAGGTCTCAGTTTTTGCTGATGAGTATTTTGCTGTCTAATGATAATACTTTCAAAGCAATTTTATAGTCATTTTCCTCTCATGTTTTAGGACTATTTGTTTACATCTAATATTCTGTCTTTTACCATAAGTATGTCAGGACTTGCTATATTCCTTCAATATTGACATTAATGCTTTTCTTTTTTTCAAGGTACTGGTTCATCAAACCTATCTCTGAAATATATTTTTCCTGTTTCCTCTTTCTGGGAATTCTATTAGGCATTGTCTCTTCATCTCACTGTCAAAATTTCTATTATCTTTCTGTGCTTCATTAGAGCAATTTCTTCAAATCCTACTTTCAGACCACTAATCTCCTTTTCAACTGTAATACGCTGTTCAATGCAATTACTTCTTTTATTAACACGTCTTTTTCATTTCCATTTCTTTTTGTCAAATCTTCATTCTTTTTTTTCATAAAGCCCTGTTCTTTTATTGCGTTCTTCCTTTGCCTCTATAAATATTTTAAGGGTTAATTTACAATCTCTTTTTCAGATTATTCTATTTGCCTACTTTTCTGCTAAAGTCCTTCTGCTTTTTCTTTCTTTTTTTTTTTCTTTTTTGCTAATTTGTCTTAGGGTAGTTCGTTTTCTCATGTGGTCTGTAATCTGTACATTTTACATGGTGATTTTAGTTTTTCTAGATGTTCCATGAGAAGCCTGAGTTATTTAAATGTTCTTATAAAGGAGATCTAATTTCGTTTTTCCCTTGTCTTGCAGACTTTACCAGTTCCCAGACAGATTTCTACCTTCATTTCTCAATTTGGGTTTCCACAATCCTCATATGTCATAAATCCACAACCCACAACACTGGCACAGGTTTCAATGACTTTGCATTGGCAGGGAGGTGATTCCAGACTCCAAGAAGAGTCAACTCTAAATCCAAGCATTAGCAGAACATGTATCTTTTCCTGTGTACACTTTAAAAATCCCATTTCCAAGCCACCAGGGATTATACCTGGAATAGATACCCCCATGTTGCAGTGGCATCAACCAGCATTCTTACC